TTGATTCTCTATGTTCCTTATTGCTGAGCCTTGACTTTGTAGTTGATTCTTTATTTGCAATAAAACATCATCCAATGACAATTTCTTCTCCATAAATTGTGGATTATTGTTAAAGCCTGATGGATAAAAAAGTCTATAGTTGATGCTGCCATGATTATTCCAATTTTCTAAAAGATTTGCTTGTTTATTAACTCATTGTTGGCCCCCCCCCCACCAGAATTGTTATTCCAGTTAAAATTAAGATGATTTTTGTAACATGGGTTATAGAAATTAGAATAAGGGTTATTAGGTCTATTGTTAATTACATTTAAGGTCTCGAATGATTGAGTGTTATAATCAACCATTTGTCCAAATGAATTTTCTTCAATTACTGGAGTTACTTGAGGTTCGTTCATTCTGAGTTGATTTAGCTTTCTAGAATTAACTGCTACTTGAGAAGTAAGAATTGAAAGCACTTCATTATCATGCACACTAGCTACCTTTCTAGGGTTTACCCTTTCAGAAGACCATTGAAATTTGTTTGTAGTCATCTCTTCAATCAAAGAGTAAGCCTCATCAAATGGCTTTGACATGAGTGAACCACCAGCTGCAACATCAATAATAGATACAAGAAATCCTGCTATACCTTTGTAAAAAGTTTGAATGATTAACCAATCGGGCAGAGCGTGAATTGGACACTTTCTAAGAAGTTTCTTAAATCTTTCCCACGCGTTGTATATTGACTCACCTTTATACTGACAAAATGAAGTAATATCATTTCTAAGTTTAGCAGTTTTTGAAAGTGGGAAATACTTAACAATGCATTTTTGGGCTACGTCAGCCCACTAAGTCACACCAAGCTCTGATAGATCCTGATGCTAACGAGTTCAACCACATTTTAGCCTTATCCCTCAAGGTAAAGGGAAAAAGTTTAAGTCTAACAATGTTGTTTGACACACAGCTTTAATGAAATGTAATTTAAAATTCTAGAAAACTTGCTAAATGTAAATTTGGATCCTCAAACGGGGTTCCTCTAAACTGATTGTTCTGTACCATTTGGATAATAACAGGTTTCAGTTCAAATGTGTTAGCTTCTACGACAGAAGATTAAAAACTTAAGTGAATTTCATTTGCCGTAGGATTATCGTATTCTCTTAATGGTCTATGAGCGTTAGAATGTTTATTACTTGGTATTTGGTTATCTAAATTGTTCTGTTGAATATTCGTCATTTCTTCTACAAATTCGTGAAGTTTTTTTCTATTTTCGAATCCTTCTAATTGTTCTCTCTATTTCTAAATCGTAGAGTACAGGTCCCGAAGGTCCTGAATTTCACATAGACAACTAGAGGTTCAACTAGTAAGTTAAGTACAATCACTCAATAACTTTTTCTTTTTTTCTGTTTTTTTTTTGTTAAAAACAAACAAATAAACACTTAAAGAAACTACAATATGATTTTTCAAGTTTAATTAATTCAACTAAATTTTTTTTGCATTCTTCGACAAATGCATCAAAAACTTGATACTCTTTTGGTATGCCTGTGGATGTACTCTCTCGTGATCTTAAACGGGTGCTATGAATTCTGGAACTTGATTTGTGTAGCAATGTGGCACTACGCCTTTATCCTTAACAACTGTGCCAAAATCTTGTTACCTTTCCTAGTTCAGGTGAAATTTACACACTAGGTGTTTTACATAAGTATACGTGTCGTACCAGTAATATCAGATTATTGAGTTCAGATTATCGATCCCACAGAGAATGCTGTAATTGAGCTTAAGAAAAGTTCTAGCCTACTATAATGAGTCTTAGTATGAAATTAAAGTTGGTTTAAGTTGTGTTTACTAGTCGTGCTAAATTATGGCTAATCTTATTGATTTATAGGTAATTCTACTAAAGCTAAATAAAGTGAAAAAAAAATTAAGATATAAAAACTACCATTCTCTTGCAATGACATAAGTAGTGTGTAGGAATGAAACACTTAGAATATAAATTGTAGCTAATGACAAATATGAACAATTCTCATCTTTACCCTCTTCCGAGTCCTTAAAGATATTTGGTTCAACTTGGTTAGTATTTCTGCCTGTCATCCTAGAAACCCCAATTTGAACCCTTCAAAGCGTATTTCCCTATCTATTTGCATTGCCCTATGGACTATTTTTCCTTCACCCACTAGTGTAATGTGATTCTTTCTAGTTGTTCATGTCATAGCTCTCCCGAGTCTTTATGGGTTCACAATGAATTTTAACATATCATTTGGTCAGAATGATAAGTAACTAGAATGATAAATAAACTAAACAAAAAGGAAATCCACCACTTTAATGAATAAAAACCTATTCTAAAAGCATCCTAATATTCTACAAATTTAACTAATTCATATCAAGAGAAATGTATAAAGGAACTACTCAAAGTGCATGAAGAATACACTACAATTCATCATCTTATAATAAAACAAATCCATAGAAAATGAGTTTACAAGAAAATGAGTTTACAAATAAAATGAGTTTACAAATAGTATAAGACAATGTAGAATGCAACATTTAATTTTCTCTCTGAGAAAAAAAAAGGTGAAAACTCCTGTACAAGTGATCTCCAAATGCTCCTTGCATTGTTTAAGTATTCCCTTAGAGAATTCTCTCAAATTCCTCTCCAATCTCTCTAAGAGTATTCCCTTAGAGAATTCTTTCAAATTCCTCTCCAATCTCTCTAAGAAAATGAAGAGAAAATAAAACATAACTCTAAACTCTCCTCTGCTTCATTTCTTGGCTTCCTCCCAGTTTTGACAATGATCTGTTGGGGGAAATTCATGCTAAAGTAATTGTAGAAACTACCCCGGGTAGTTCTAGTGCCCAGGCGTCGTTGGCTTTGTCTGCTGGGTAAAGTCTAGCGCCAAGGCCCCAGGGTGGAGCCAAGTCTGGCGCCTAGATGCCACTGCACTGGAACCATATTGTTCCCCAGGTGCTCCATTTTGCCTCCGTTTCACTCATCTCGGCTCCAGTTCTCCTACCTGTTATATCTGCAAGAAAAAACAAATAAAATACCCTTCTTTAAAGTATAATTTCATATAAAACAAGTGTTAAATGTAAAGGAAATTGAGCATGCTACATGACATATCACCTGACTCACTATCCATGCATGCATACAGATGCAAATGTATACAGCTGCAAATGTATACAATCAAATGATAAAAGTGTTGAGGAGTGTGCTGTGAAGATAGTGACTCAAGAGCGGGATTGTCATGGAGAGCGGCCCAAAGAAATTGGTGTATCATGGAGGAAATGACTCTGAAGGGTCGGCGTGCCGTGGAGGCAATGACCCAAAGAATGGGTATGCCATGGAGACAGGGACCTAAAAGGGTTGACGTGTCGTGGAGGCAGCGACCTAATGAAATAGGTTTGTCGTGGAGGTTGTGGCCCAAAGGGGTGGGCGTGTCGTGGAGGCAGCGTCCCAAAGAATGGGTGTAGTAGAGACAGTGACCCAAAAGAGTAAGCTTGTAGTGGAGTCGACGTCCCAAAGTAATGGGTGTGCTATGGATGCGGTGACCCAAAAGACAGGCGCGTCGTAGATGCATCGACCCAAATAATGATTGTGCCATGGAGGCGACGAACCAAAGGAATAAATGTGTCGTGGAGACATTGACTCAAAAGGGTGGGCGTGTCATAGAGACAACGGCCCAAAAGAATGGAAATGGATGTGTCGTGGAGGAAGTGACCCCAAAGAGTGGGCGTGCTGCAGAGGCAGCGGCCCGAAGAAATGGGTGTGTCGTGGAGGCAATGACTCTAAAGGGTGCCTACGACGGTCTGGAGCGGCACTGTAGGAAGTGTAGGGATGTAACTCTCGTTGGAGAGAATTACACAACAGATTGGCTCAGTGATGAGTCACCCATTCACATGATGTATGAATGTGAGGGATGAGTGTATGAGAAACACAAATCCAAGTGCAATACATGCAAATGTACAAGTTATGAAGCATGCGGAGGTAGTGACTCGAAGAAATGGATGTGCCGTGGAGTCAGCGATCAAAATGAATGTCTACTACGATTTGGAGCGGTGCCGTAGGAAGAGTAGGGATGTAACTCTTGTTAGAGAGAATTACATAACATATTGGCTCGGTGACGAGCCACCCATTTGCATGGTGTATGAATGTGAGGGATAAGTGTGTGAGAAACACAAATACAATTGCAATACATAATCTTGAAGTTGGCAGCGTGGTGTTGTACTTTGTGTATTCTCGTGCTTCCTTTACATAAATAATATTCTTTTTGCTGTTCTTTGCTCCAGAAGTCTTCACAACAATTCCTTATTGCTGTTTTGCTGAAATTCTACTAACATACCGCTTGCCATTTATCATCCATTGTCAGGTTTTTTATTGTAGGATGTATCAAAAACTTGCTTCAGAGCTACAACTATTGTTTGCACAACATGTGTGCCTATTCATTATTATTGAAAGTCACCTTTATTAGTCTAAAGGTTTTCACAGGCCTAGCCACTGATTCTGCAATGAATAATGATTTCCGTAAGTGCTATCTTCCATATTTTCTCCCAAATTGAACCTTGATATATCTTTATCAAAATTGTAAAGTGCAAAGCAGAGTCCTTTTGTGTTTTCTATTAAATTTTTTTTATTTTTTGTATTTTTTGTAATTGGGAATCCCATCTTCAAACGCAGGGTTAAAAAATCTATAGATATAAAAAGTTATATCCATAAAAGATGGCTTACTGAACAAACTTAGCTTGGAAATACCATTCTTCGTGTATGCTTATTCATGAATTTGTTGGCTTTATTATTACTAGAGTTTTTGGCACGCACACGACATATGTGATCTAGATACTGGCCTGTGTTTATTAGGGTTTTCATTTTGTGATGGATGAATGCTAAATACACGGTAAATGTTGAGAGAAACATGGATGCTGCGCTAAGCTCAACTTGAAGTACAAAATATCAATGCATAACAATGGGGATGAAGACAATAATAGATTAAGTTAACGCTACTTTGCTAACTGAACTTTACTCTTTCATATTGCAGGCCTAGTGCTAATTTGCTTAGCAGTACAGATTGCCTCTCCCCTAAACACAGGAGGTGGCCAGAAGATATTGCATGGCACCCAGATGGAAATAGCCTATTTTCTGCATATACTGGCGATGCTGGTGATTGTCAGATCTCAGTGCTGAATCTTAGATTGTCTGGAAATGTAAGTTTCATTTCAAAGTCTATTCATCACTGAAAAACTGTATGTCCCAATACTGTGAATGGGTTCTTTTAAAATGACATACAAGGATATGTGAATCAATCCATTTGTGTCGACACTATGCTTCCTAAATGAGATGAAAACAATATATGAGATTTTCACTAGTTTCAAGTAATCTCCATTTTTTATTTTTATGTATTATACCCTGATACTTTGGCATGGAAACCTTGATTTTGAAGCTTATTGAATTGGTGACACAGAAATGTCTACGAAAAATAAAAAAATTGAAATTTTTTCGTTTTTGCATCATAATGTTCTCTTCTCTATAGGTATCAAACCGTTACTAGTTTGGATTACTAATTACAATCATAAAGTTGTGAAGTTGGAAGGTGATAATATTAATGCTTGAACGATGAAACTCCTTTATATAATAAAAAAATAGGCTAAATTTTGAAGTTCATTGTTTATTAGTAATTTTTTAGCCAAACTTTGTTTTCTGGATCTTGATCTCTGAAAAATCTGTATGCATCATGTATTACTAGCACAGAGATTGTGTCAGACATGCATCGTTTGGGAAGAAAAGCAGAAATTATTTAATGTATTTTGTTGCATTAATATTGGAATGCATAACAACTCTTGATTGCCTGTATGAATGGCCCCTTTCGATATTGAATTTTCTCTGAAAGTGGATCTTCTTTTTCTGAACCAGAATCTGTTTCTCTTGAATTTTTTGGTTTATTGAGCTTGGATTGAAGGAAATCTTCACATTCTGGTGCTGTAAGATGCCCAATCGTGAAGTTCAACTGGTTAAATTTTGAGCTCTCTTATTTTTAAGGGAGCATAAGTGTGCTTGATTGTCTCGCTGATTGCAGGTTACGGTACAGTTTAAAAAAATCTGGAAATGATTAACTGAAAGTTATTAAGATTCTATTTCAAATTGAGTTTTGGTACCTATAATGAACTTTTCAAAGCGTCATTTTATGTATCCAGTGAGTTTTTGCCAAGATTGCAATTCAAAAAGTTTTTAGCTTGCAGACGAGCTGTATTTATGGAGTTATATGGAAGGGAAACTAGTGCAAATGCGAGCTTGTGGGTGAACATTAGATAAAGTATCTGAGGATGGTATACGGGAGAAGAAAGTGATTAATACTGTTTTCATGGTATAGGGGTGTTTGTGTTCTCGTAAATGCTCATAATATGAAAAAAAAATATATTGCTCTTTATTGTTGTCACATGCAACCAAAGGAAATGGGCCGTTTTTACGATTTTGCCAGGGATATGTAGAGAAACTTGCTCTTTCAATTAGCTTGAGAGTTGCAAAGCTTGCATTGTCTGGATTGCTTTGTCCCTTCTCATTCCGTAATTTGCTTTTTTTCTCATTGGATGCTTTAAAATATATTGCATTAACACTTTATTTTTTGTTACTTGTTGCATACAGAAAAAAGTTACTTTCTTGGAAGAAAAACCTCATGTAAAGGGCATCATAAACAGTATCATTTTTATGCCTTGGAGTGATTTATGTTTTGCAACTGGTGGGAGTGACCATGCTGTGATCCTCTGGAGTGAGAAAAATGATTCATGGAAACCCAGGGCAATACATCGCACCCAACATACTTCTGCTGTCATGGGAGTTGCAGGATTGCTGCAGAAGAAGGTCATACTATCGACTGGTTCTGACAAAAGAGTTATTGGTTATGATCTGTTGGCAGAAAGAGCTGAATTTAAACATCAGATAGATAGCAGATGCATGAGTGTGCTGCCAAACCCTTGTGACTTCAACCTGTTTATGGTTCAAACAGGGTATGTTTGTAGTAGTCTTCATGCTTAAAAATGCTAAAACATTTTATCAATCTAAAGCTGGAATATAGTTATCTTGCTGATAACATTCATTTATCTAATGGTTGAGAGGCTTAATCATTTTTTTTTTAATTTTTTTAATGTTCATGCTCCCTTTTTTAATATTTTTTGTGGGTGTATTGCCATTGTTATTTTGTTTTCCCTAAGTCCCATGCCAGCTTATACGAAAATAATATTTTGTAGTGTTCAGTGATTAATTGTCTTCGATTGACCAGGGTCTATAAATCTTTCAAATCTCGTGTATGCTGAATCTTCATGTAGAGAATCCAAAACTCAAACTCTTACATTCATGACTCAAATGCCCCCCCTCTCTAATAGAAAGAAGCATCGTCTTAATGCTTCCTTTGTAGTGCCCAGTTCAACCACATTCGTATCTTATAATTTTACCCCCTTTCAAGATGTCCCAAAAATTATCCAAACTATTTTTATAAAAGCACGCACTTCATTTTATCACACACACACAAACACACGTACATACATGCATACATGATTATATGTATGTTCGTACCTACATACATATATGTATATATGGATGTACCTATATGCATACATCTTTGTATAGAGGTACCTACAAACATGCATATTATATATATATATATATATATATATATATATATAAACACACACACACACACACACACAT